TTTTAACATTGTGTACATGACATTTAAGTATATTACTCAGCCTGCAGTGACGTTTGTTCGAAACTCTCAGGCTGAGTCATCTTGTAAATACCGTTCATAACACTGCAGACACAGCAGTCGCTTCCTGTGTGGGTGAATCTCAAGAACAACACGTCTGGCATGTTTTTCTCTCTAAATATATATATTTAAATTTAAATATTATATTATATATATATATATATATATAATATTTAATTTTAATAAAATAAACAATTTTAGGACCATTTATTTATTTTTTGCGTTTTAACATTGTGTACATGACATTATTAGAATTTTAATAAAATAAACCTATTCTTAGGGCCATTTATTTATGTATTGCATTTTAACATTGTGTACATGACATTTAAGTATATTACTTATCTGATGTGGTAAGGTTTTTTTTTTTTGGGAATTATTATTATTTATTTTTAGTTTATTATTTTATTTTACTCTACTCTATTGAGGGGAGAAAGCGTACTTATTTGTTGTCTTAAGTATAGTCTTGATATTCTTTATGTAAAATTTTTGCCTTTATTTATAGACCCAAACATGTTTTTGACAGGGTTTGGGATTTTCATAGGTGTCTATTAAATGTCTTATGTAAAGGGGGTCATATGATGTTGCTAAAAAGAACATTATTTTGTGTATTTGGTGTAATGAAATGTGTTTATGCATTTTAAGGTTAAAAAAACACATTATTTTCCACATGCTGTACATTATTGTTTCTCCTCTATGCCCCACCTTTCTGATATGCATTGATTTTTACAAAGCTCATCAGCCTGAAAAGCGAGGTGTGCTCTGATTGGCCAGCTATCCAGAGCGTTGTGATTGGCTGAGACATGAACATTAAAACCCATTATAAACGAGGCATTTGTTGCATCCAGTGGGGACATAATTACGGATTATAATGACTTATACTGTCTTTTTACGCGTTGCGTTGCATCATGGCGCGTAAACATAAAACCGTTTCTGCATTTGTGATTGGAGAAATGACAAACAACAAGCGCTACTCTACACTGCTCAAAACTCGCGTTTGAATCGTCAGTGGCAAATTCTTTAAATATAAAAAAAACTTACTACCAGTCTGTGAGTCAGAACAGCCGGCATTGTAGTCTACTCTACCAGGATCAGGAAACAGTCCTCCATAAAATGTGCTGGACACTTCTGAATATTTGGGTTGAACTGTTCTGGAACAGTGTTGTAAATACAACTTAACCACTGATTTCTAGTCGTGTCCTCTTTTGGAAGGCCAAACAAAGAAGTTTCGCTTTCACAACGAAACAGCATCACACACCGCGGCCTTGAGTGAGCGGAGGCCGGAGGCCTAGAGTGAGCCGCGTCCTAGAGTGGGCGGAGGCGGGCGGGGTTGAGAACGGCACGGCCGGTGGATTCATGTGATATGCATTGATTTTTACAAAGCTCATCAGCCTGAAAAGCGAGGTGTGCTCTGATTGGCCAGCTATCCAGAGCGTTGTGATTGGCTGAGACATGAACATTAAAACCCATTATAAACGAGGCATTTGTTGCATCCAGTGGGGACATAATTACGGATTATAATGACTTATACTGTCTTTTTACGCGTTGCGTTGCATCATGGCGCGTAAACATAAAACCGTTGCTCCACATTTCCTCAGCGACCAGCACGGATCAGCTCCAGGCATGACGAAGCGGATATCGTCCTCAAAGTAGCCAAACAAAGTAGTTTTGCTTTCACAACGAAACACATAGTGTCTCCATAACATGGCCGCGGCGGCAACAGCGAGAATAAAAGTTACACCGCCTTTCTTTGCGTGAACATTAGACTTTAGTCTTTGCAACTTTACAGATCTTCTTTCTGGAACAGTGTTGTAAATACAACTTAACCACTGATTTCTAGTCGTGTCCTCTTTTGTAGGGCCAAACAAAGTAGTTTCGCTTTCACAACGAAACACAGCGTCACACATGGCGGGCTAGAATGAGTGGAGGCCTGAATGAAGGGGCGTAACATTTTCGTCACACGCTTGAGGTATTCAGCCAATCACAATGCATTGATTAGCTGGCCAATCAGAGCACACCTCGGTTTTCAGGCTGATGAGCTTTGTAAAATTCGACGCGTTTCAGAAAGGCGGGGCATAGAGGAGAAACAATAATGTACAGTATGTGGAAAACAATGTGTT